GTATCCCTCGGGGGAAAATCCAGTTTTCCTTCCTGCTACAAAGTTAACAGTATGTTCTTCTCCATCTTCATCTACGTAGGTGTAGCTTCCGACAATGTTGCCATCAGCATCAGCTTCCTCAGTCCGTGAATAACTGTCAGAATCAAAGGAAAATCTGTATGAAGCATCTGCCTGAGTGTCTGCGTTGTCACTCCCCTCTCCAGACTTAAGAGGTGAGACTGTTGCTAGAGCATTGGCTTCTTCTTCAGATAGGACAGGGAGAATGCGTCCAGTTGGAATTCCAGTTTCTGCGCCTGGAACAGGTGGTCCTTGAGGAAGGGAGTCTCCTTCAGCAATGTATCCGGTGTCAGCTCCAGCAATATACTGGATCTCCCTACTTACGTCATCATCAGCAATAAAGGAATACCTTCCCTTGACATTGTTCTGTGCGTCCGCACTTTCATGTCGTGAGCTACTCTGAGTCTCGTAGGAGAAAAGAGTAGCTTCCGTCGTCAAGAGCTGAGCTACGTACTTGTGCTACTTCAGCTGGTGCTGCTGAGGCAGCAGGTTGTGAAGGAGCTGGAGCAACATAGGTTGTAGCTGCACTCTTGGTTGTCACAACGCCTGAACTGGAAGACTGAATTCGAGATCCAAAATCAGTGTCTGGAGCAATAGGTAAGTGATCACCTTCAGCAACGAAACCAGTAGCAGATCCAGCAACATAGTTCACAGTCCTTCGAACGCCATCATCGGCATCAAAGCTGAAAGTTCCCTGTACGTTAAGGTTGGGATCAGCACTTTCCGATCGAGAGCTTTGACCAGCATCATAACTGAAAGAGTAAGAGGCGTCCCTTGGAGCAGAGTCAAGAGGAGAACTGTAAATGGCAGCAGTCAGAGGGCTAGCACTTGCAGAACCAGAAGTGGCAGCAGCAAGTTTGTTAGCTTCTTCCTCAGACAGTACAGGAAGAATTCGTCCAGTTGGAATTCCAGATTCTGCGCCTGGAACAGGTGGTCCTTGAGGAAGGGAATCTCCTTCAGCAATGTATCCGGTGTCAGCTCCAGCAATATACTGGATCTCCCTATTTATATTATCATCGGCAACAAAGGAATACCTTCCCCTGACATTGTTGTGACCATCTCCACTTTCATGTCGTGAGCTACTTTGAGTCTCGTAGGAGAAAGAGTAACTTCCATCGTCAAGAGCTGAGCTACGTACTTGTGCTACTTCAACTGGTATTGTTGAGGCAGCAGGTTGTGAAGGAGCTGGAGCAACATAGGTTGTAGCTGCACTCTTGGTTGACACAACGCCTGAACTGGAAGACTGAATTCGAGATCCAAAATCAGTGTCTGGAGCAATAGGTAAGTGATCACCTTCAGCAACGAAACCAGTAGCAGATCCAGCAACATAGTTCACAGTCCTTCGAACGCCATCATCGGCATCAAAGCTGAAAGTTCCCTGTACGTTAAGGTTGGGATCAGCACTTTCCGATCGAGAGCTTTGACCAGCATCATAACTGAAAGAGTAAGAGGCGTCCCTTGGAGCAGAGTCAAGAGGAGAACTGTAGGTGGCAGCAGTCAGAGGGCTAGCACTTGCAGAACCAGAAGTCGCAGCAGCAAGTTTGTTAGCCTGTTGCTCAGACAGAACAGGAAGAATTCGTCCAGTTGGAATTCCAGATTCTGCGCCTGGAACAGGTGGTCCTTGAGGAAGGGAATCTCCTTCAGCAATGTAACCAGTGTCAGCTCCAGCAATGTACTGGATTTGCCTATTTACGTCATCATCAGCAATAAAGGAATACCTTCCCTTGACGTTGTTGAGAGCATCTGCTGTTTCGTGACGTGAGCTTCTCTGATTCTCGTAGGAGAAAGAGTAACTTCCATCGCCAAGAGCAGAGCTTCGTATTTGAGCTTCTTCAAGCGGTGTCTGTGGAGCTGCAGATTTTGTAGAAGCAATAGGTTGCGAAGAGACAGCAGGATCACTGTAAGTTGTAGATGCACTTTTTGGGGATACACGCGAGCCAAAGTTAGCCAGTGGGGCAACTGGTAGATGATCCACTGACAAGGAAGCCTTGGTCATTAGCTGTATAATCCAGCTTTATGTCTGCCCCGGATGCATCCTTGTACCCAAAGGAGCCAGAGACGTCCCCCGGGAGCATTTGCCATCGCCGACTCATAGGCTCCGTCACCAGTGTCATAGCCATACTTGAAGGTCCCGTCGTCGTGGAGAACATAGTATTGTGACCTGGCACCGAGGCCTACGGTCGGAATCTTGTACTCGGCATCAGGACGTGGAAAACTCAGCGTGCTAACCACCGCCACGGACAACACGGTCTGAAAAGAAAACGAATCTTTATAGATTTTTTGTAGAGGGGAACATTTGTATTAGGGAGCAGTTGGCATGATTTTATCAGGTAGCGAAAATACTCTCACATTTTATACTTCAAAAATTTAAACATGTGACTGTGAGAATCTTTTTACAGAATGTTTGTTTTATGCCTGTGCGTCCCAGCTCGGATGCCATTAA